TAGGAAATTCTTCCACCTGAAGATAGATCTCAGACATGCTTGGTCTGCTCCTAGAAAGGTTTTCTAACATCCCCTATTCACGTTTCACTGGGATGTCTGAGACTGTACCATAGACGAAAGGCATGGCTATCATCTGAGGATTGTGATAACAGTATAGACATGAAATAAAGCAACCAATGTGCTCCACTCCCAGATACTGCCTTTTGTGGAGTAGGGACTAATGTGGTTCCCTTGGACTTTAAATATCAGAGTTACTGTCCACATCACTGCATATAAAGATTGAGAGCGTATGTCAAGTGTATATGTATGTAACATGCATGTGGGTTGTTGGTCCAAGATTCTTGATCCCAGGAGAAATCTGATTGCCATTATGAAGGAATTATTAAGAAGGAATGTTTTGCCTTTTTGTGTCATAATTAGCCATCTCTCAGGTTGAATTTGATGGACTTTTTCAGGTTGAATTTGATGGACTTTCCTTTTAACCTAGGTTCCTATGTAAAGCTATGTAAGAAATCAGTCATATTCACCGTCCAATAAATTAATTTTTTTTTTTTTTTTTTTTTTTACATGCAAAGATATTTATTTCTGTCTGTCTTTTATAAGAATATAGACGTGCCATATCTTCAGCCCAGTCACTTCTGTCCTATGGGTTTTTTTTTTTTTTTTTTTTTTTTTTTTTTTTTTTTTTTTTGATTGACAAATTTTTTATTTTATTTTTCATTGTCAGTAAGTATAGACATAGGTAATGTAGGGATACAGAAGAAAAAGGGAGTAGGGACATTGAACATCCTGTTTGTCAGACCCCAAATTAACTATGTACATCGTCAGATCTAGTCATGCAGACATCTAGTACAATTAAACAATTCACCATTATATTCATATATGTTAATTCAGTTCCTGCATGCGGAAGATATCTTGTGTGCCCTTTTGATTACATTTATACGTGTAGTGGTGGTGGTGACAACAAAGTTGCCCGGTAAGTCTGCTCTTACAAATAGGGAGTTTGGGGTACTGGTTATATGCAAGAGAAGAGAACAAAAAGAGAGGGGGAGAATAAACTATTTGGGGAGGGGGGAAAAAAAAAAACAAGGGGAAGGGGGGGAGTTTGGTCGGTTTGGTCGCAGAGTTTGCGGTCAATTGGCTAGATTGCGATGCGCTTATATTCAGTTATAAGGTTATATTCAATTATGAGGTTGTGGGACTGTTTGTATGGTGCTTAGTCTTCAACTCCCATTGATTCCATGCCATAGCCCAGAAGTTTTTCTTTGTTTGCGCTTTCCTTGCTGTTGTTTCATATTTTTTGGTAGTTTCTAACACCTCTATACATGTTTGTATACAGGGGGGTATATCTTTCAGCCAGTTTCTACTTATGACGGTTAATGCTGTAATAATTATATGATATGCCAGGTATTCGTTCGGTTTCTGTAGTGTTTTTGGCCATATGAGTAACAAATAAGTTAATGGAGTATGTGGTAGCTTGACGCCTGTGGTATCCTCTATGAGGCTTGAGACGTCTAACCAAAATTTTTTCAATTTCGCGCATCCCCACCAGATGTGGGTCATAGGCCCAGGCTCCGCGCCACATCGCCAGCATGTATCTGGTTTGGTAGGATCTATCCTGTGTAGCTTTGAGGGCACCATATACCACCGATATAGAAGCTTCCTGCTTAATTCTATGTGTGCTGTGTTTAATGTGAGCGTTTTATGTGCTCTCCGGGTCTGAAGCCATTCATCAGGCGTCAGTGTGTGGTCTAGTTCCTTTTCCCATGTTCTAATAAAATTAGGTTTTTCTGTGTTTGTGTTGTGTTCAAACAATCGATATAGGGTGGATAGTAGTCGTGATGGTGGTTTGCCCGCCATGCATAAGATTTCTATCTCATTGAGTACATAACCCCGTGTCTGGGAGTTGTCATAGTGTTTGGTTGCCCATGATTTCAGTTGTAAGTACGAAAAAAAGAGTGTGGAGGGTGGATTGTATTTGTTGCGTAGCGAGTCGTAGTCACTTATATGTCCGTTTGTTAGTATCTGTGATATGTAGGACACTCCAAGGGAGTTCCAGGTTTTGTAGTCAAATCCTGGAATCAAAACATTTAGTGCCCGGAGTTGAAGGTTTGGGGAGAATTGCGCTTTTTTGTTTTGGTTTTTGACCAGGTTGTCCCATATTTTGAGTGTAGCCATAGTGGTTGGGCATATGTTTTGATATTGTGGCCTTTTGTCCCTAGGTATCCAGGCTAGGGTGTGTAGTGGCATGCTCTCGGTGTATGCTGCTTCTATTTGGGTCCATGCAAGTGGCGTTTTGTGGTGGTATGTGTTTACCAGTGTACTTATCATAGCTGCCTCATAGTATCTTGTGATGTTTGGGACCCCCATTCCTCCCAGTATGAAGGGTTTGTATAGAATCTCTGCTGCTGTTCTGGCTTTTTTCCCACCCCATATAAATTTATTTAGGGAGCGCTGAGCGTCTATGAGGAATAATTTTGGGAGAGCTATTTGTAGGGTTCTGAAAAGGTATTGTAGACGTGGCAGTACCATCATTTTTGCCGCTGCGATTCTGCCCATCCACGACACATATTTCCCCTTCCAGCCCTGCAGTTGATTGTTTATCTCCCGGAGGAGCTTCTCATAGTTGGCCTGGTACAGTTTACGCGTGGTTGGCGTGAGTGATATGCCTAGAAAGGTGAGGTGGTCACGCCTCCAGTCATATGTATATGTACTCTGTAGATGTTGGAGCCTTGGGTTTTTTATATTGAAGCTCATGGCCTGGGTCTTAGTGACGTTTAGTTTGTAGTATGAGCAGTTGCTAAATTGTTGTATTACTGTCTGTAGTATAGGTATTGATATCTCAGGTTTGGTTAGAGTCAACATCACATCATCGGCAAATAGCGTGATTTTGTGCGTTACCTTGCCAATTGTTATCCCGTGTATGTTTTGGTTTCCTCTGATGTGTTGAGCTAATGGTTCCAGAGCTAGAATATATAACAGGGGTGACAGTGGACATCCTTGTCGGGATCCGTTCGATATTCGGAATTGTCTGGAAGCGAAGCCTCCATTTATCACCTTCGCGGTTGGCTCATGATATAAGGCCGAGACTAATGTGAGAAATCTTTGTGGGAAATGATATTTCTGAAGTACGGCTTCCAGGTATCCCCAGTGCAGCCTGTCGAATGCTTTCTCAGCATCTAGTGACAAGGCTACACTAGGTTCCCCATTTTGCTGGATGGTGTGGATGAGGTCAATTAGTTTTCTGGTACCATCGGAGCCCTGTCTGCCTCTGATGAATCCCACCTGATCATTTTTTATTAGAGATGGTAAAAAGTTCCCCAATCTGGTTGCATATATTTTTGCCATTATTTTTAGGTCTGTGTTCAATAATGAGATTGGGCGTAAATTTGGGCATTTGTGTGGTGGTTTGCCAGGTTTGGGTAGTGTTGTTATGTGTGCAGTCAACATCTCCTGGGGAGGGGTTCCAGTGGATAGAATATGATTGTATAAATTCACTAGGTGAGGTGCTAGCGTGTGGGAAAAGGTTTTATAGTATAGGTTCGTAAACCCATCTGGGCCTGGGGATTTCCCTTTAGGGAGCGCTTTTATCGTCTGTTGTATTTCACTAAGTGTGATGGGTTTTTCTAGTTCTAGTTTGTTATCCGATGTTAGGTTAGTTAGTTGTACTTCTCTTAAGAAGTCTGTTATGTTAGATGTGTGAGGCTGATATGTGTTGCCGTCGTTTTTTAGGTTATATAACCCTTCGTAATAGTCCGCCATCATGTTATTTATGTCCTGTGGGTTATAAATTTTGTGTCCCTGCTCGTTGAAGAGGAAGGGTATTTTGGCGTTCAGTTGTTTCTGACGGAGTGTTGATGCCAGTGCCTTCCCTGCTTTGTTTCCTTGTGTATATGAATTGAGTTTTAGTCTATGCATGATGTTCGTCGTCTTTACTATATGTGTGTCATTGATTTGTTTCTGTATGTGTTGTATGTGTTGTTGTCTGTCCGGTGTTGGTTGTAAGATTTGGGCTCTAGTTTCATCTCTAAGGGATCTGAGTAGATTTACATACTCTTGATTTGACTGGCGCTTGAGAAAGGATGCTCTGCTTAAGAGATGGCCGCGTATGACTGCTTTATGAGCTTGCCACACAGTGGCAGGTGAGACATCGGGAGTGTTGTTTTGTGCAAAGTATGTTATTATTTCTGTATTTAGTTTGTGAGTAAATTCCGGATTTTGTAAAAGAGTGTCATTCAAACGCCAGGGTGTTGTTCCCCTGAAAGCGAAGTTATCTTTGAGTGTTAGCCCGACAGCGGCGTGATCTGACCAGGTTATGTCGCCGATATCGCTATGGGTTGCGTGTGGTAGTAAGTCACCAGTGATTAGTATGTAGTCAATCCTAGAATACGTATGGTGGACAGACGAGTAGAATGTGAATTCCCGGTCGGCTGGGTGTTGGGCCCTCCAGATGTCATAGAGTCCGTACTCCGAAAATGGTCGTGTTAGTGCTGTTGTCTGTTTACATATGTTTTTATATCTAGGTGATGTATGTGGTAAGGTGGTGTCTAATTTGGGCTGTAGTACGTGGTTGGCGTCTCCGCAAATTATTTGAGGAATGTTGGACATAGTCGGCAGTTTCGCTAGTATCTTGTGGAGAAAATTCTTCTGGTTATCATTGGGCCCATAAAAGCTCGCTATGAGATATTGTATGTTGTTTATGTTACAGTGCAGTATGATATATCTGCCTTGTGCATCTTTCTTTAGTTGTAGGAGTTCAAATGTTAGAGATTTATGAATGAATATGGAGACTCCCCTTGATTTGGAGGAGTATGTTGAATGATATTGAGTTGGGTAATCCCTGTAGGCAAATGTAGGGACTCTATTGTGTACAAAATGTGTCTCTTGCACACAAAGTATATCTGTTTTGTACTTTTGTGCTCCTTCTAGCAGTAATCTACGTTTATGCGGTGTGTTTAGCCCGCGGGTGTTAATTGATTGTATCTTCATCTACCAAATACGGATGTGGGGTGATTGCTAGGTGTTGAGGCCTGCGGTTCATTGGTTTGGTGTTTGTGGCAGGACGTAGTATCATGAGAGTTTGTGTTGGTGATGTAAAGATTTTGTGACATTGCGATGAGATGATATGGGGTCCCATTTTTCGGTGCGCGTTGTATCTTGAACATGCGCTATCTAGTGTTGCGTTGGCATAGGTGTATCTTATGTTTTTGATTGGTCTAGTAGGGGTATTAACAGGGGGTTTTAAACTTGGTAGGGGGGGGAAAACTATGTACATTATGTCTCTTTGCGAGACAAGGTGTGGGATTGCCACACCATAGGGGTTGGAGTTGGTTGTTTTCTCCATCTACGTGGCCTATGGGCTGTGTTTAGAGGTCACTGCATGATGTGCTATATGCGGTTTGGTCGTTTGTAGCAGGGTAGTACACTTGTGGAGTCAGGTCGCTTCCCACCTGTGCGTTTCACTGTAAGCCCCGTGGGGTATGCCCGTTTGGGGCAGAGGGCGGTCGTTTCAGGTTTGTCGTCCCCCGGTCCTATGAGGGCGCTTCTATTTTTTGGGCATGCTTATTGTCAGTTTGGGGATCACGGAAGTCGTCTCCCTATTGCTGGCCACTGTGTATGTAGCTGGGTCATATCTAGTCAATGTGTCACAGCGTCCCTATTCTCTCTGTTTGGGGAGGGGTCAGTTAGAGGGGACGATCCTCGCTAGTCGTGTGTCCATGTTAGTTTGCTTGCGTAATTATAGAGAATGTGTCTCTATCTTGAAACCCACGCATTCCCATATCAATGGTTCATTACATCTTCCCAAGTCCCTCCCCCCCCCCCTGATTAATTCACAGTAAGACTTTGAAAAATCAAAACATGAAAGTGGGACCCATTTTTGGAGAAAAGGTAAGGGGGAAGCAGAAATTTACCCAAGTCTTTCAATCTGTGTGTCTTTGTGTGTCCCCCTGTGGCCCGTTTCGGTGCCCGAACCTCTACGTAGGGGTACCTGGGGTAGTGGTGTTTGCTTACCCGAAACGATCCCCCATCAAAGGCGCGGCCTCGGACCCGGGTCCCCCACATCTATGCCGCTGCTCTGCATTGCTTCGTCACAGGGGATGTTGGGAGCTCCGGGTCCAAGGGCCCCCCGGACCCACTCAGGAGCCGCTCCCAGCCAGAGGTGCATCCCCAGACCCGGTCCCCC